TTTCAGGTTAGCTCAGCGGTCTAAGGCGTCGACTTCACACCAAAAGAATCCGAGGATCCAAGGAACGAGTCCTAGCCCTAGCCGATACAAGCAGCGCAGTGTGTCTCCCCAGCATTGTAACACAGATGTGCACCCCATAATTTTAAGGGGGACCTCCCCTCTGACCGGGCGCCAATCGGACAGTCCGACAAGAGGTACGGGGCGTCAATCGGACAGTCCGACGGGAGGTCTCGGGCGCCAATCGGACTGTCCGATTCGGGATGAAGTCGGACTGCTCTGTTTAACATCCGAATTTCAAACGTTTCAGAACATAAACGGAGCCATCCGAAACAGTCCGAAACGCATTAGTCGGAGTAAAAACGGAGCAAGTCCGCTTCGGATGTCTTTCGGAGCTGTTCGTTTTCACAAGGGGCCTCTCTCTCGAACATATCAACTGGTTTGCCATGTTATTAATGCTTACTTAATTGTGCGTTCTAGATACAAAAATTTGGAGAGGTATGCGCTGCATCACTCGCCCGGCGCATCCCGCCCCAAACAACAGCTCCGAGTGGAGTAAAGTTTTCGACCAGGATATGAATTCCGAGGAGTGTTACGTCCAGGTCAGTCATGAAGCCATCTGAGGATTCTGTTCGTGAACTAATATTGCCGATTTCTTTTTCAACCCCTGACTCATACAAAGATTCCTTTTACATCGCAACAGGACACGGTGCACATAGGAACAAAGTTCAGAACGGGCTTCTGCATCAGGGGAACATGGGGAACTACTGTGCCACCGTGAACCACCCCGAGCACATCAAAAACACCGTGCCGAAGCTGCAGTAGGGTAAGTCGTATATCGCTTATTTTCGATTCTTGGGTTGTAATAGTGTTTTCCAGCCGCCATTTTGGATGAAAACTCCTGGAAACATTTTTTAAGTTTTGTCCTTTAACGTTTTCATAACCCTACCTTGCCTGTTCTTCTGGCCTGCCATAAGAGGTGGTTTTGAAAACTTCAATTTTGGGCGCATTTTTTTCTTGACTAAACACGCAATTTTACGGCCCTCTGGGTGAAAATTTTAAGGAGAAGGCTCTATCTCAGCCGGTTTTCGAGCTACGAATTATTATTGGAAGGGAAGAGGTTGCTTATTTACAGCAATATAAAAACAATTCATATCATGCAAACCGGCAGAGATAGAGCTGCAAACCAAGATCAACTTCGCGACTGGCCTGTATATCGAGGCAAGAGGAGTGAGCGAGATGATCGGTGGAGACAAAAGAAGTGGCTACGAGATTCTCTTCATCCCACTGGTCGGCAGCGGTCTCCCAGCAGCACGCCCGTAACCTCCAAAGAACGAAGCCAAGCGCGTCTGCAAGAACATCAGCGCCTTTCTGGGTCGTTACGGTATGCAAGAGATTCGTTTCGGCATCCGGTATTTTCACCTTATAGCAGGTGTGTATTTGCAGGAAAAAGTTTGGTTTTACGTCGGTAACATTAAAAAAAAGGGCAAGATATTATGAAATGCGGAGTCTTCGTAAACTTGGGTTTAAAATGTGAAATCACTTATTGGACTTCTAATGCAACTGCAGATGTAATTCAGCACTCTAAATTACTTGTATTCAACCAATGCTTATCAGTTTTAAGCTTGTCAGAGTGTTGGCAGTTATTTCATTTCATATGCTCTTGGTAAAACAAAAATTTTAATTTAGGACTCTCTTTTTAAGTTCATGATTGATAATTTCAAGTAATGCATGTAATGTTTAAGCTAATCAGGCTGAATGAATCACATCTACACTGGTTTTACTAATTCATTTCACAGCAGTTGGTTTTTTTTTTTATGCTTCAGGGAGGACTTTCCGGAGAACACACCACCACTGGCCCGGATGACTGATCAATGATGGGCGTTTGGACTGGGGATAATACGTGTTTCTTCTTAATGATACATCACATTAGTTTCACTACGGTTCTTAGGCTGCTGGCAAAATTTCTAGGATAGGAACATGAAGCAAATGAAAGAATTGTATGGGAACAGTGCTTCCTTTGGGGCAGTACTAGGTCCAGTGCGGGAAGAAATAATTCGACATTGACACGACGTTGAACCGATGTCGGAACGGCTCAATAGACGTCCCAAAAATTTCCTTCGATTTCTAACATACTGTGCTTTTCTCCTGTCTTTTGCAGGGGGCTGTCCTGACGGCTGCGGCGGGGTCTCCGGTGACGTGGCGCCAGCTGGTTTCTTGCTTGCTTGTTTGCCAGCACAGATCAATCGCTGCTGATCTTGGTGGATGCCTGCCTTGCCATCAATGATCAATCTCTGCTGGTCTGGGAGAATCCCCTCGCCTCTGCTGGTCTGGGAGAATTCCCTCCCCTCTCGCCTCTGCTGGCCACCTCGTGGCATCCCAGCATCCGCCGGGGGATGGGGCGCCATGGCGCCACATCCCAGCACAGCCGTCGCCCGGGGGGGCCACAGCACCCCCGGGAAGGTAGGATAGGACAGCCCATGTGAAGGTGGAGTGAAGTAAGTAGATTTCTTTAAAATGCCAGCAGTTGGGAACCGTAGTGGAACCGAATTAGGGGGGGGGGGATAGGGCCAGTTGTAGTGTACCATTATGTACTAATAAATTTTTTGAAAAAAAAAACCCATACTTTGAATTTCTTTAACACATACCTGAGCGTCTGTCGGCCGGTTATTGTGACGGTTCCGTTGTGATCGACAGCAACCGCCCTGCACATGAAAGTACTGTCATACTTCATCCACAGTTTCGCAAAGTACATGAGTTGCTTCATACTCACTTTAACCCTTTCACGACCCTGCTTCTTCCGGGAGCGTGCAGAGTCCACTCTTTGCCTCTTTTGGCATGAACAGTGTCCCATGAGGGAACAAGGTACATGACTGAATCAGGGACGCGCGACGACGACATGTTCACGCCGTGAGCTGTAAAGCCGTACTGACGAGTCTCCTGGCCCTGCTCCTGGCGCTCCTCCTCGTAGCCGTTGGCGGGGTGACCTTCTCACCTGCCCAAAGATGGCCGACGCACACCTTTGTGGACGCGATCCCTTTTGTCACTGCCACCCCCCCCCCCTTCCATACCTGCATTAGGGGCCACAATAAAGCAGTCCAGTCAAGTGGTCGGCTATTGTCCTTACTGTGGGCAGTCACTGACAGTCAGTGAAAGGTGCACGATGGCACGAGCGCCTACGCTATAATCCCCTTAATGCTAGTCGTAGTAGGGCTGATGACCTTCTAAGCTCCGGCTCCACTTGCTTCAACTTCAACTTCAAAAAGGGTTATAACGACTGCTTGTTC